GGAGCGCGAAACATGCTGGTGGAAACGCGGCGTGTCGCTGGTGAGCGGGATGATTGGCGGTATCGTGTGATAGGATTGGTATATATCAGTTTGATGCGAACCTCTTGAGCGTTGTGCTTGCCAATGGCTCTTGGACAACTCGATTTTAACTATTTCCTTACTCGGAACTGCTTGACAATCACCTTTCTCGCTCTCGGGCCAACCGTCGTCTAGTTTTGGATAAAATGAGTCAGCTTGGCAATCTGAAACGGATCAAGATGCTTCATCAATCCAATCTAATGCAATGTGCCTGAGGTCCTGGTGCCGCCTCCTTCAACAGAAAAAGATAAGGTCTGCTGCGATTGCTTGAAGCAATACTAAGACTTGTCACCGCTGTACCCCAAATCTGCAAGGCAGCTCCAGGTGTAGAGCCGAGCGGCAGGACTGCAGCAAAACCAGAAGGCTGTAGCATAGACTCTTCTCTGTCGAGCCAGGCATGCCCAAAGTGATGCACAAGAGGTGACTCCACTTTCCAAAGAAAGAGGCCAGAAAATATGGCATGAAGGGCCGGGTCAAGTAAACTAGTTGCCAAAGGTGTCGTCTCTCCTGTAGAGCCAACACTTCCTGGAAGCATTGAAGAAGCAGCTGATGAACTTCCGTCTCTCGGCAAGTGAAGTAGTTTGTTTTTGAAAGAATATCAGATTCGTTTTGTGTGTTTCTTGGCTTGTTTGTTTTTTGAAGCTGCATTCATGCCCTCAGATCCAGTTATCGCTCCAGGCGCTGGACTCAGTTGCTCTGTTTTGACCCTTCCCATTGCTCATTACACTACAGACTACACTCCCTGGAAGATTTATGGAAGTGGAAACGGCCAACAAAGAGCTTCCATGGTGGTTTGCCACTTCCGTGGTTGCTTTAGGGAGTGTAACTTTCTTTTGGCCTAGGCCAGATGAGGCTGTCTACGGATGCCTATTCTGTTTGCCTCTTTTTGAATCAGCATTTCTTTTAGCTTCTGGCAGGCTCCTGCACCAAGAGACAAAAGGCTTGTGTCTCAGCCAAGCAACCCAGCCCAGACGGCCAGAAATTTTTTCTTGTCCCAGGAGTAAAGCGGTTATGGATACGCTCAGCCTTTCTGCGGACTCAGCTTTTCTGTTTGACTGTGCATCAACTGTGTATCATTGCGCCAATTCGCCTTGTCGACCAATGGTTTCAGTTCAATGGTGCTGCTTGAATGCTTTATTGGATGCATGTCGATTCGATCCAGGACCGAGATTTTACCGTGGCCACTTCGGCTCCTGAATTGCTGGGTCATGCCCTCTGAGAAGTATGGTATCATCAATGTTAAAACTTCCAAGAGTGCATTTGAGTTCGGGGTCATTGTATCCGCTCCCTCGCAGGCCTGTCGATGATTCAGCAATTCAGAATCACCCCAGCCCAGGCGAAACTGAACAAGCAGAAATCATAAGTTCAGACAGAAACTGCCAACGATTAAAGGCACAAGAGCTATTGTCTGACAACGGCCGGCGACTACAGCTGGAGTCCTCAGATCACTCACCTTACCGTATATGTGTTCTTTTCATGAACTTTGCAGGCGTGCCTTCTCCGACGCCAATGAGCGAAATGGAGCACACCTTACTAGATGGCCCCTTTCTCAGTTGGATAAAGCACGATTTGTAATTTTGCATTAATCATTAGAGTCTGTTGAAATCGACATGATTAGGCTTGGATCTTTGACCCATTATGGACGAGCAATTGTGTGAGTCTCAGTTTTCAATTGTTGGAAAGCGAAGAGACGAACAACTGTCCAAGGCGGAGCTTCTTCTCGTGCGTCCAGTGCGAAATCTTAATTCAACATCCAAGATGTTGTCACAATGTTTTGACACAAACACGGTGAATTTTCTTTAGGAGCACGTTGGGTTCACACTCACGATTTTAGGTATGGCACCTAGTCTGATGTTTACTGAAAGCCTGAAACCGCTTGTGGAAGCGGGATAAGCGCAAAGGTCATGGTTTAAACTCTTCGAGTGATGCCGGAGAGCTCGCTTGCTCAATCGTGGCTTCTGTCGCGGTCCAAGGGATATGTTGCCTCAATTTGCTGTTTGGAAGCACAGTGGTAATCAGTACTTGCAGGTTTGCGGGGCGCTGACTGCAACACACTTGAAGAAAGATTGCACTGAATGGCTGGTGAACTCGACGGAGACTTAGTTTTTTTTTGAAACGGACGAGTTAGCTCCCATTATAACAACCATCAAAAACCATTGTATGGACAACTAATCACGAAAGCTAGCTGTAGCTAGCTGGAGTCTGTCTTGCTTTAGCAAGGAGGGTGGGAGCCCAGGACCTGAGTGTGTTACCTGATATATCAGGACTATACCCCCCCCCTCCTTGCGGGGTTCAACTCCACCCTTCTCCTCCTCGGTACCTGTGCTGCTGGATGCTGGCTGCCTGCTTCTTGTTGTCTGCTCCGTTTTGCTGCTGTTGCTGTTTGGGGTTGTTGGCTGCGTTGGTGCTGAAGAAAGCCTATTCGTTAGAATCGAGAGTAGTTGCATTCCCTCTGAGTCGTGAACCGATGCTAATTTCATTATATCCTTAAGAAGCTTGTACAAGGCATGTACCCACCCCACAACCCCCAAGAGTACAAATCAGAATGCGCTATCCGCTATCCATGCAGATCAAAAGATGATACTTACTACACACATGAATGACAGAACCCAGTAAGATGTTTGAACGGTTTGCTTCACTCATGGTAGTCCGCGTTCCATGTTCGAGCGACAGGGAGCATGCACAAGCGTTGCGACGGAGTCTTCGGTCGCTGACACATGTTCGCATGCAACCCCTAGATGTCAATCACGCACACCGCTGCTGGCTGCATCGTCAGCATTTATTTACCAGGCTACCGCCTGCAGCCGCCGACCCCCAAGGGATAGAACCTTATCGCTAGCCTTGCTCTATGTTAGCCTTAGCCTTAAGCCTTAGCCTTAGCCTTGCCTAGCCTTAGCCATAGCCTTAGCCTTAGCCTTAGACTTAGACTCAGACCTTACTTTTTTACCTTTCCGGACCCGGGGTTTGTTGTAAAAGGGAGTTGTAGGATTTCCCAGGTATGCGTAGAAAATTGCGAACCTATTTTCTTCCATTGTTGTAGAATTTTCTAGGACTTCCTCTTGTGTTTATGTTCCCAGATTTCCCCAAAAAATTGATTAATCTATTGTTAACCTATTTGATTCTAGTGTTCCCGGCAAATGCCCTGGAATTTTCCTAGGAATGCTCTAGGCTTTGTTTAGATTTTGCGCTGGACGAGGTCCGGCCAGTGCCCGTGGTAACGTGAAAGGCTCTGGTAAGATTTTCGCATGCCTGTCAGGCGCCCGTGTCCGCGCCATGTGGCGTGCTGGTTCTAGGACGGAGCAGCGCAAACGGAAGCTTGGGCAGGTGGTGGCGAGGTTCTCGCGCCAGCGAGGGAAGAGACCGTAGCCATGTACATGCGGGTGGCACGCGCGCGTGGCGGAATGTCTGCAGTGCGGTAGATGTGGGGAGGGTAGGGTTTCCTGGAGCACCCCTGGAGCAAAATGCAGGATCACCCAAGTCGTCGGGTGAGGGGCAGCCGGTGTCTGTGTTATGCGTTTCCTGGGGGAGAAGGGCGCTGCCCATGGTGTTCGCTAGGTCGCTTCAGCCAGCGAGGGCGTTGCCCATGTATGTCCCCTTATGCAGGCCACGGAAAACTGCTCGGTGTAGTGGTCGTGGGCGGAAAACGCCGGCGCGCAGTGCTTTGGCAGGCTGGCGGAAGCCGACGGCTGCCGGAGCTGGACGAGGCGCGCAAGGGATGTGTAGTGGAGTGTGGAGTGAAGCTAGGGGATGCGAGCGCCGGGGTGCGAGGATCGGGTCTAGCGCGGGCGGAGCGTGAGTTGGGAGTTACCGGCAGCACTTTTGGCTGGAGAAGTGTGGTTGCGATGGTTGCTGATGGTCCAGGGGCAGCTCGCGGGAAGGGACTGGACCAACGGTCGAACCTTGGAGGACCAGTTGGTGCAGGGAAAGCTGTGGGCTGAGGACTCCGTGGATCCGGTCTTGGAGGGCAGGCGGCAGCTGTTTGGGGTGGCTCTATGTGTGTCGTGGAGCACATGGCCGAGAATGGAGGGATTTGCTGTGGTGGCCTGTGGCGAGAGCTTCGTGCTCCCCGGCCGGCAGACCTCGAGGAGTGTGGATGCGGCGGCGCAGGGCGCTGCCCATGGTATAGGGTACAATTCAAGGGCCACGATTGTGTTGCTCGTGACCACCACGGGCATGTTTTGTGACAAAGCTTCGTGGAGCATCGTGTCTCGCCAGAAGGGCTCGGCGCTGCAGCCGGGGCGGAACAGGAGCTCCTGTGGGGCAATCTATGTGTTCTCGGAGCTTGGTGGCAAGGTGCAGCATGAGGGGCATTGGTCTGTCGCACAGGCGCGGCAACAGAGGATCTGGTACACCGGAGCTGGAAGAGTGGGTTCGCGGGAGATCCGAAGCGGGTGGAGCGACAGGGCGCTGACATTAGTTTCACGGCCGGAGGGAAGGGGACTGTGCGGCAGACCTGCCTGAGGGCCGAAGTGGTGGCTGTGAAGGAGAACAAGGATGAGATGTGTGCGGGACAGCAGTGGGTCGTGATTGATGACCACGGCGTGACTTGCAGGAGGCAGGCGGCGCTGAGGTTGCGGCTGATATCTGGACTAGACACAGTCTGGCGCAGAAGGCGATCGCAACAGGCAGCACGGATTGGGAGGATGCGGCCGACAAAACGATGCTGCACTGTGTCCAGATCTGCTACAATTCAGCCGCGAGAGTGGCCTCCATGAAATATACATCAGCTCGGGTGATGGGACTCACGACGCGCTGGAGCAGGACGCTGGCAGTGGAGCGGGATCGTGGCCTGGAATGTGGAGGAGGTGGCAGTGTCTAGGGCGCTGCCCATGGCCGCTGCAGGAGTGGGCTAGGGGCAGAGGACGCGGACCTGCCCCCAGGCGGAGGCATTCGCTGCTGTCGGAATCCTGGGACCGCTTTGTCGCGGGGCCAGGCGGGTGCTTCCCACGGAGCAGCACACTATAGGAGCTGGAATGATAGATGCTCTGTCGAGGGCCGTGTCTACAGGGCATGGTCCACCGCAGCAGGGTTGAGCCAGACAAAAAAAAGGAAGCTGGGCGGCAGGAGCCGCGGCGCAGGGCCGTGCCCATGGTATAGGGTACAATTCAGGTGCTGTTCTAAGAATTTTCTAGCATTTCCTCTTGTTTTTAGGCCCCCAGATTTCCTCCAAAAATTGTTAACCTTTTGCCAACCTATTTTGCGCCAGTGTTCCCGGCCAATGCCCGTAATTTTTCCTGGGAATGCTCTTGGTGACCACCAGGGGTAGGTTTTGTGACAAAGCTTCGTGGGAGAAGGGCGCTGCCCATGGTGATCGCTCAGTTGCGTCAGCCAGCGGGGGCGTTGCCCATGTATGTCCCCCCGTGCAGTCCATGCAAAACTGCTCGGTGTAGTTGTCGTAGGCGGAAGACGCCGGCGCGCAGTGTTTTGGCAGGCTGGCGGAAGCCGACGGCTGCCGGAGCAGGACGAGGCGCACAAGGGCGTCGCTTACTGCCCATGTCGGGTGCGTTGTGTTCTGCGCGCCGTGGCGGAGCAGGGCGCTGCCCATGGTAGACAGTAAACGCAGCCAGCGAAAGAGCGCACGGCGCGCCGCGACCACCCCGGGATTCGAGCCTGGGATCGTTTTGGACCATGCGGCTTTCCTGTGAATAGCCACTATTGGCTTCAAGGATAAGGTTGATTTCCTGTGAATAGCCACTGTTGGCTTCAAGGAAAAGATTTTCTAGCCACCTTTGGCTCGAAATGATCTGCTGCAGGGATTCGGGCGGGGGTCGGGCAGGAGTCGGGCGAGGGTCGACCGGGGGTTGGGCGCAGTATATGACCTTCGGTTACTAACTGAAGGCCTCCGAGAAGGGAACGTGCGCGTGGTCGGCGCCCGGACTTGTGCTGAATCGATCGGTTTCTCCCGGTGACCCAACCCATCACCGGCAAAGCAGGTACCCAAAAAGTCGACTTTTTGGGTACCTCCCAGGTTTACCATCGGATGTCATCTCGTGCATGAAGCCCGTAATGCTGAACCCTCCTCCCCATAAAGGATATCATTGCCCAAGAGTTTAGACCCAACCCAGCACCACCAAAGCAGGTACCCAAAAAGTCGACTTTTTGGGTACGTCCCATTGGCCATCGGACGTCAGCTCTTGCATGAACCCCGTGCGGCCTGTGGGGCCGCAGGGCGCTGCCCATGGTCTAGGGTACATTCAAGTGCCACAAGTGTCGGCGCCAGCTCCGGCCACGTACCATCCTTTCCGCGATATTTTCCCTCGGGGTCAGCGGCTGCAGCTCAGGTTGCGTTTGCGGAGCGAGGCAGAGGCATGAGCGCCGCGCCGGAGGCTGGAAGCGCGCTCGTCGCAGCGGGCGTTGCTTCTGGGGAATGGGTCGCGCTCTAAGAACAGACAGCTAGGCGCGGTAAATCGATCGGTTTCTCCCGGCGACCCAACCCATTACCACCAAGGCAGGTACCCAAAAAGTCGACCTTGTGCTGAATCGATCGGTTTCTCCCGGTGACCCAACCCATCACCACCAAAGCAGGTACCCAAAAAGTCGACTTTTTGATTACCTCCCAGATTTACCATCGGACGTCATCTCTTGCATGAACCCCGTGATGCTGAACCCTTCACCCCATAAAAAATATCATTGCCCAAGAGTTGAGACCCATCACCACCAAAGCAGGTACCCAAAAAGTCGACTTTTTGGATACCTCCCAGATCTACCATACGTGATCTCTTGCATGAACCCCGTGGTGATGATGATGCGTTCCTCACCGACGAGTCCGCGTCTATGTCCCTCTGTCCAGGCACACTCTATCGCCGAGGACCCCTCGCAGGCCAAACTGCAAAGGTGGGTTCCACGATAGAGGACTGTCTCTGTTTTTTCACGATAATCCTGTCGTTGTCTAAGGGGCCCCGTGTGTGGCCGGGAACACTGGCATAATAGCCAAAGGTTAACAATTTTTGGTGCAAATCTGGGAACCTAAGTCAAGAGGACATGCAAGAAAATTTTTGGAAAAGCACCCTCCCGAATAAACAAAGCCTAGAGCATTCCTAGCATCTAGTCGAAAACGTAACAAAATCTAAGTGCGGCCAAGAGTATTCCTAGGAAAAATCAAGGGCATTGGCCGGGAACTAGCAAAAGGTTACCAATTTTTGGGGGATATCTGGGAACCTAAAAACAAGAGGAAGCGCTAGAAAATTCTTGGAAAAGCATCCAGCCGAAAACATAACAAAATCTAGACAAAGCCGACAAAGCCTAGAGCATTCCTAGGAAAATGCCAGAAAAGCCAATGAAAATCTCATAAACCAACAGAAAGCATAACAAAATCTACGAAAAAGCAAGGGCATTGGCCGGGACCATGCCGCGACCAGCCGGGATTCGAGCCCAGGACCATTTTGGACCGTGCTTATTTTCCCGCGCGGGTCGAGAGGGTGCCCCAAGATGTAAATCAATTGGGATGGCAGAATCTTGGACAATCCAGGTCGCCATCAGGTCGCTTTCCCGTCAAATTCCGTAGCTATCAGGTCGCTTTTAGGACCGGATTTCGTCACTGCAACAAGGGTCCGGAGGGGTAGGGGAGGTAAGGTCTAGGTCTAAGGCTAAGGACTAGGTCTAAGGCGACAGTCACGCCTCACCCCACGGTGTGGGGTCGGCGGATTTTATCAGATATATCTGTCTTTCCACGTCGCCCTTCTACAATTACTCAGGCAGCACCTATATGTGCTATTGTTCGAGACCAAATGTTGGGGCACGAAAGACTCTAAGGAAAGCTCACTCTTTCCCTGCTGCTGCTGCTGCTGCTTGGTAGCTGCTGCTGCTGCTTGTTGGTAGCTGCTCCTGCTGCTGCTGCTGCTGCTTGGTAGCTGCTGTTGATGCTGCTGCTGCTGCTTGGTAGCTGCTCCTGCTGCTGCTGCTGCTGCTGCTTGGTAGCTGGTGCTGCTGCTTGCTAGCTACTCCTGCTGCTGCTTCTGCTGCTGCTTGGTAGCTTCTGCTTGCTGCCGCTGCCGCTGCTGGTTACAGTTATTGTTGTTGTGGCTGTTGCTGCTGCTGCTGCTGCTGCTGCGGTTGCTGGGGTGGTTGTGTGTTGCCATGTGTTGGCTGTGTTGGGGTCGTATTGCGGGGGCGCTGTTGGCACTCTCCTTTTCCCTTGGCCATGGCATGTTGCGATTCCCGGCCAGGCTTTTGCTGCCTAAAGAGCCCCAGCGTTGTTTCTTTGCCTAGCTTTCGCCACCCCCTCTGGGCCACAAGTATGACAGATGCGAAGCAAGTGTTGCTGACAGGTCCTTAAACAATGATCTGCAAAAACTACTGACAGTCTATAAAGTGAATGATCAAAGGAACAGGTCATTCTTTCAGTATCGTTGTGGCAGAGAGTAAAACCCTGTGGCCACACTCTAGGTCTGCTCTGGGAGATATGACAGCTTTGTGGGATCCCAAGCACCAACAACGGCATGCGCTCGCTTTGCCTTCTTGCAGCCAGGATGGCCCAGCGACCAGCATCAACTGCATCTGCAGTCTCAGTGCAAAGCTGTCGTGTTTGAAAGAGTTGTCATCCTTGTCTCATGGGGGAGAAGCTGGACATTTGGGAAAGTAAGACCAGGATGGTGAGCTGCTGTGGAGACTCGTGGCTCGTTCTGACGGCGCAATACTTAAAGCACATTGTGTGGAGCTAAGCACCTAGAACTTATATAGTACCCTGTATGTAAAACATTTTGCGGCACTGCGGCAGCTTAGGCAAGAGGAGAACAGGACCACTTCCCTTCCACATTTGGATTTTGATGCTATTTCAAAGCTTGATAGGAGTACCTTGCTTTGATCCACAATGTGCTCCGAGTCCTTCTGACCACACGAGAGACGGCGGAGGTGCGCAAACAAAACCTATTCCTTTAAGTATGATCACTGCATTGCAGGCCACAGAGTCTTTTTTTCGACGTAGTTTGCGACCCCAACATCCACACCTTATCGTTGGCACTCGCCTTTGCAGCTGTTGGGTTGCATTCCTTTTTTCTGCATCCATATGGGTACACATGGACCATGTTGGGGAGCTGCGTGTGTGGTGTAGGACCTTTGAAGTTTAATACGCCGTCTTCTCTGAGTCAAGCCGGGTGTCCCTGGACCCTCAATGGTGCCTGAGGGAGGCCTGGGAGGCGCCTGGCTAGGACCGGAGGGGTGGTTACACCCATGACGGATCACCTTTAAAGTCTCTGACGAAGAACGCAAGAGGACCATCACGATCCAGAGCATCCTTGTAGATTCCGAGGTCCATGATGACGAGTATAAGAGGTTGGGACTGGTTGACACAGGCACAACAATACACTGCAGGCGGCGGGCGCTTGGGCCCATACCCTCCTCACAAGCCAGAAGAGGAGGTTGATCAAGAGGCTTCACCTCAGGGTTGTCCGGGGGGCCACTGCGAAGCGCTGCTGTGGCCCGGGGATGACCATTCTAC